GGCAGAAGGACTGCATGAGCCCAGGAGGTCAAGGGCGTGCCACTGCACTTCAGCCTGGGCGACAGAGTGAGACTCCATCTCAAAAAAAACAATACTTTTTGTAAAGACAGGGGTCTTGCTTTGTTGCCCAGGCTAGTCTTTAACTCCTAGCATCAAGTGATCCTCCCACCTTGGCCTCTCAAAGTGCTGGAATTACTGGTTTGAGCCACTGTGCCCAGTGATTTTTTTTTTTTTTTAGTTTCACTGTTAAGAAGAAACGAATAGTCCATGTGGATAAGCATCTTGAATATAACATAGAGACTGTAGGGAGCCTTCCTTCACCCAACTCGTAGGTTCTTCCTCTTGGAACATCATGTTTGGAGTCATATATGTAATCTCTGTTTTCTTTACAGACATCTGACCCAGATGTGATCCTCTGCAATTCTGTAGAGTTGATACGTGAGCGATTGACGATATCTGAGGATGAACCAAGGGCCAGGCCCCAGGAGGAACAAAAGCACGATGACTATGTGTATGATATTTACTACTCAGAGATGGCCACTCCAGGGTGGATTGAGAACATCCTCTCTGTGCAGCCCTATAGTCAAGAGTGGGAGCTGGTAAGGGGACCATCGGGAGAGGCGGCATGAGGCATCCTAAGCTCGTTTTCCTGAGAACTTTGCCTCCTTACAATTAACATGGTTTTGTTTTTTGTTGTTGAGACAGGGTGTCTCCCTGTCACCCAGGTTAGAGTGCAGTGTCACAGTCACTGCATCCTCAACTTCCTAGGCTTGCCAAGCAATCTGCCCACCTCAACCTCCCAAGTAGTTGACACTACAGGTGCATGCCACATCACCCAGCTGTTTTTTTTTGTTTTTTTTTTTGTAGAGACGAGGACTCACTATGTTGCCTAGGCAGATCTCTAATTCCTGGGCTCAAGCAATCCTCCTACCTCAGCCTCTCAAAGTGCTGGGATCACAGGTGTGAGCCACTGTGCCCGGCCAACATTGTTCTTAGTTCTTGTCCTACTTCAAAGTAAAAATGTATTTTTTTAAATTTTATTTTATTTTGAGTTGGAGTCTCACTCTGTCGCCCGGGCTAGAGTGCAGTGGCACACTCAAGCCACTGTTTTCTCAACCAACTGATCCTTCCACCTCAGCCTTCCAAGTGGGTGGAATTCCAGGCATGCACAACCATGCCCTGCTAATTTTTTTATTTATTGGAGAGATGAGGACTCGCCAGGTTGCCCAGGCTGGTCTCAAACCCCTGGGCTCAGGCAATCCTCTCACCTCTGTCTCCCGAAGTGCTGGGATTTCAGGTATGAGCCACCGTGCCCAGCTGCATTATCTTTATTGGTTTTTGTTTTTGTTTTTGTTTTGAGTTGTGTTCTCACTCGTTCAGATTGGGGTGCAGTAGCACGCTCATGGCCACCCCAGAATCAACCTGCTGGGCTCTGGTGATCCTTTCCTCTCAACCTTTCAAGTAGTCAGAACTACAGGCATGTGTTACCATGCCTGGCTAATTTTTTTTTAATTTATTGTAGAGATGAGGTCTCACCAAGTTGCCCAGGCTGGTTTTGAACCCACAGGCTCAGGCAGTCCACTCATCTCAGCCTCCCAAAATGCTGGGATTACAAAATGCTGGGATTACAGGCTTGAGCCACCGTACCCAGCCACAAAAGCCACTTTTAAATTGTGTCTTAAAAGAGGAGAAAACCTTGGATGAAGAAATCTAACATCCTGATACCATTATTAAATTCTAAAATTACTAATGAGAAAAGGTGGCACCTGTCACTCACTTTGTGAGAGCAGCACTGTATCTTACATCCTGCACTAGAACCAGATTTGCAGCCAGCCACCACCTTGGACCACTGCCTGTACCCCCTACTCTCAGGCTTTGGGTCTGACCTTCAGCATAACCTATAATCTATATAATCCCTCTCCCACATGGCTGCCCTTCAGGAATGTGAAGATTGTGGCCATTACCTACATGGAGCTGTCACTTTCTTTCCTTGTGATCCCTTCTGGTGTTCAGAGTATCCCACCAGGAGTGTGGTGTCTGGAACTTGACTCTCTGCCATCTCCCTTTCATAGCCTAAAATTACTACTGGCTTCTGTGTACCTGAGTCAAATGAACTAATCTGCCTCTTTTTCACCTACCACCCTTACATGACATCTGCCAAGCTGATGTGCAAAGAGCTTCCCCCAAAGAACCTAAGTTAGAAACTTGGACTTAGCTGGGTGTGGTGGCTCACACCTGTAATCCCAGCACTTTGGGAGGCCAAGGTGAGAGGATTGCCTGAGCCCATGGGTTTGAGACCAGCCTAGCAACTTGGCAAGACCTCATCTCTACAATAAATCAAAAAATTACCTGGGCGTGGTGGCTCATGCCTATAATCCCAGCACTTTGGGAGGCCAAGGTGAGAGGACTGACTAAGCCCATGGGTTCACGAACAGTCTGGGCAATTGGTGAGATCTTTTCTCTACAGTAAGTCAAAAAATTAGCTGGGTGTGATGGCACGTGCCTGTAGTTCCAGCTACTTGGAAGGCTGAGGCAGAAGGATCGCCTAAGCCCAACAGGTCGAGGCTGCAGTGATGGTGAGCGTGCTGTACTCCAGCCTGGGTGACAGAGTGAGACTCCAACTCAAAAAAAAAAAAAGTTTGGACTTAGACTCATGTTTGTATTGAGACGTGCAGGTGAATGATGATCAAGAGCCAGAGGACATTTATGATGATGAAGATGACGAGAACAGTGAGAACAACTGGCGCAATGAGTACCCAGAGGAGGAGAGCAGTGATGGAGATGAAGATTCCAGAGGTGAGTGGTAGCCCAGGATGAGGCTGAGGGGGAACTATAGTTGCCAGGTACGTCTTAACCGGCTTTCCTTCTGTGCCACTGAGCTCCAATAAATGAACCACAAGTGGTACTCTCTAGGAGACCCAAAGACCAGTGTTCCCAGGTGACTGCTGGGTGTGTAATATTGCTCAGGCCTGGGTTCAAATCCATAGTTCTGTCATTGCCCAACTATGGATCTTGGGCAGTTACTTTACCACACCGAGCCTCATTTTCTCTCCAGAAAATGACAGCACTGCATGAATGTTAGTGGTTGATATTAAGTACAATATGTAACTCATTGTCCCTTTCCCTGCTCTAATCAAGAAAGTTTTAAAGAGAGAAGTTCACCAGTAGGAGTAGGCCCAGGGTTTTCTTGAGCCAGTTATCTAACCTCAAGGAATGGCTGCATTTACAGTCATTTTGAGAAAGATGCAAAGTGGACACGGTACCTGGGGGGAAAGAAAGGAAAGGTGACCTGGCAACACAGTTCCTTTGTTGACTATGCTCTCCTAAGTGTCAACGAAAAGAATTCCTTGATGCCTGATAACAGAGGAACAAATAATCAAAGAGTAGAATGTTCTATCGGGGAGGTGTTAAAAGAAAAGGGGTACAGAGTATTTAGGTACAAAAATATTTACAATATGACTACAATTTTTTGTTGTTGTTGAGTCAGAGTCTCACTGTTGCCCAGCCTGGAGTACAGTGACACATTCATGGCCACTGCAGCCTCCACTTGATGGGCTCAGTTGATCTTTCTTCCTTAGCCTTCTACATGGCTGGAACCACAGGCCTGCACCACACCTGGCTAATTTTTGATTTACTGTAAAGAAAAATGTCTTGACAAGTTGCCCGGGCTGGTCTCGAACCCCTGGGCTCAGGCAGTCCTCTCTCCTCTACCTTCCAAAGTGCTGGGATTACAGGTGTGAGCCACCACATCCAGTAACTACTATTTAATTTTTATTTTTGGTTTTGTTTTTTTTTTTTAGAGAGACAGACCCTTTATTTTAGGCAGTAGCTTTCTCCAGAATACTATAAACTATGGACCATATGGACCATATGCATTTATAATTTCCCAGGGAGCTGCTGAAAAAGTGGATGCTTGGAATCCTTGACCTTCTAAATTGGTTCCTCTGGGTGTGAAACCTAGAAATCTGCTTTTAACAAGCACCTCAAGTACTTCTGTGCTGCAGTACATTTTTGAGAAACCCCAAACCACTAAAAGTGAAGTTAAATTATCCAAAACCTATCTGGAAGTTTCCTGTTCATAATTTAATCGGTAACTACTATTTTAAAAAATCCTGTAATTAGGTGGGCAGTGATAAAATACCTCATTGTTAGGAGACTTGGTTTAGATGGTAGGAGTATGGCTGCTTTTTTCTTTTCCTAGTTGATATTTCACTCTATCACTCAGGCTGGAGTGTGGTGGCAGGATCATGGCTCATCACAGCCTTGACCCCAGGGTTCAGGCAATGCTTTCACCTCAACCTTCCAAGTAGCTGGGACTACAGGTGCATAGCATCACACCAAGCTAATTTTTAAAATTTTTTTGTAGAAATGAGGTCTCACTATGTTGTCTAGGCTGGTCTCAAACTCCTGGGCTCAAGCAGTCTTCCCACCTTGGCCTCTCAAAGTGCTGGGATTATAGGCATAAACCACCATGCCCAGCTTATGGTTACTTTTTTATATTTTTATTTTTTTAGTTGGAGTCTCACTCTTTCACCCAGGCTGGAGGTTAGTGGCATGTCCACAGCTAACATAGCCTCAACCTGCTGGGCTCAGGCGATCCTTCCACCTAAGCCTTCCAAGTAGCGGAACTACAGGCACGCACCACCACACTTGGCTAATTTTTTATTTATTGTAGAAATGAGGTCTCACCAGGTTGCCCAGGCTGGTCTCAAACCCATAAGCTCGGGCAGTCCTCTCACCTCAGCCTCCCAAAGTGCTGGGATTATAGGTATGAGCCACCACGCCCGGCCTTATGGCTGCTTTTAAAAAAAGTTTTAATTCTATATTCTGTATGTTCTTAATTGAGTACGTATTTTATGATGTTGACTAAAAAACAGACCTCCAGAAAAGGGGCTATTGTAGCCTAGAAAATCAGAGAGTCCCTTTCTGGTATCTCATTCTAGGCTCTGTTGAATACCTCAGTGAGGAGGAAAGAGGCAGTAGACGACAGCAGATGTGGAGCAAATACCCTTTGGATGTCCAGAAGGAGTTTGGCTATGACAACCCCCACGATCTGGATTCAGACTGATGATAGTCAGATATCTTGTGATATCCATGAGTTTCTACCACAGGCCCTTGAGGGCTCTGTGACTACAGATTTAACCACCCTGGTGACTGACATCTCCTTAGGTTTCCCAGCTTAACACATGGAAGGAAAAAGCATATCCATCTGCACCATCCTACCACTATGAAGCCTTATGCTAAGGGAGTAAGTCTTTTTCACTAATAGTAGGATGTCAGTCAAAATTTACTCTACTCTCTGGAGATGGTGGAATGCTAAAGGTTCCTTTAGTTTCTTGGCCAGGCATTTTTCTTGGCATTCCATTTCTCTTATGCTGAAGCCACAAGGGGGAGGAGCAATAAAATTGCTCATCAGCAATAAAATTCTGCTTTCCCATACCACCAGGCTATGTGCCTCCAGTAAAAGCTTGTTCCTTCTGATAGAGGGAATCTAGAAGGGCTACCACTGTAGCAACCCAGACTGAAGAGTAATCGCCATTAGGGTGGGAAGTAGAATGTGTCTGAGCTTTGTGTAAGATTTTCATTAACAGTTGTCTCTGCCTCCCTGCTTCCAGGCTCTGATAATGATTGTAAACATTGCTATCTTCCTATGGCAGTGGTGTCAAGGGACAGAATATGTATAAATGTGATAAACTGTGTTTAATAAAAACTAACTTTGAACATGGCAGCAAGTCTTAAACCCTTTTAAATCTGAATTATCTTAGGTATTTTCCCACTGTACTTACCTACACACAAAAAAAGGGGAAGGATAATAAGACAAATTTCAGGACTGACTAGACACTAGGAACTTATGGCAAGTGAAGAAAAAGGAAGTACATTCTGAACTTGGCTTTCTATTTAGATACATTAACTATTCATAGTGCTCACCAGAAACAAACTACTATCAGCAGGACTAACTTCTGTCTCTTTTAAGCAAACTCAGTCCCTATTACTTTCCAAACCACAGCTGCCTTAACTCTTTTTGGGGGGGGGGGGGGAGTTTCACTCTGTCACCCAGGTTGGAATGCAGTGGCTTGCTGCTCACAGCCACCGCAACCTCGACCTGCTGGGCTCAGGTGATCCTTCTGCCTCAGCCTTCCAAGTAGCTGGAACTACAGGTGTGCCACCATGTCTGATTAGTTTTTTGATTTATTGTAGAGACAAGGTCTCACCAAGTTGCCCAGGCTGGTCTTGGACTCAGGTAATCCTTTTGTCTCGGCCTCCCAAAGTGCTGGTATTACAGGCTTGAGCTACCACACCCAGCCTCACCTTAACTCTTAAGTTGGCATTTATTCTTCTAGTGTAACAATTGTCCAATAGAACTTTGCATTGATGAATATGTTCTGTCTGCACTATGCAATAGTAGCCACTAGCCACATGTGGCTCTTAAGCATTTGAAATGTGATTAGTGCAACTGAGAAACTGAGCTTTTAAATTTATTTGTAACTTAGCTAACTACATGTGGCAAGTAGCAACTATTCCCTACGGATCTAGGGAAACATTTGATTCAAAGTGTGTCCTGTGACAGTATATCTCTGGCTCACCAGGTTGGAAGGTGAATTACACAAAAAGATGCCCTCTTGTCACCTCTTTTAAGATTTCATCAATAAGGGTACCTGATCTCAAACCAGGTTAAGCAGGGACCAAAGTGAGGCCCAAACTTTAACTGTACAATGACCATTTGTATACCTAACTCTGAATTGTAACCCACATCTTTAAAATAAAAAAATAAAAATAAATAAAGATTTAATAAGACTCTCCTTGGCCGGGCCTGATGGCTCAGTTTGTAATCCCAGCACTTTGGGAGGCCAAGGCAAGTGGATTGCCTGAGCCCGTGGGTTCGAGACCAGCATGGGCAACTTGGCAAGACCTCGTCTCTACAATAAATCAAAAATTAGCCAGTGTGGTAGCATGCACCTGTAGTTCCAGCTACTTGGAAGGCTGAGGCAGAAGGATCACTGGAGCCCAGCAGGTCTACGCCGGGGTGGCCACAAGCTTGCCACTGCACTCTAATCTGGGTGGAGTAAGACTCCAACTCAAAAAAAAAAAAGACTCCTCCATCTTACCCCTACCCATTCTTTGACTTTATGTCCACTTTGTAAGCCTTGAACTACATTAATTTCTATCTACATGGAGTTGTTAAACTTGCCAAAATGATTAAATTCTGTGCACTTTCTACTATTGCAGCTAATTAGACCAACAGACAATTAGTTTTTCCATCCTGCGTGTACACAAAGGTGCAATTCAGTGTTGTAAATTAACAGGCAGCCACTTACTAGTCATCTTAGTATCAATTTGTAGGCATAGAAACAAAGGATTAAAAACCACTCTGTTGCATACTGACAGCAACTGGAGTAAAAAAACACAAAACACTGCCACTACAATGTGCTCACTGCTGTTTATGTACTCATTAAGTTTTGCCAACATTAAAGGGCAGACAACTTCACAAACTGTACCCACTGCAAAAGGGATTAGCACACCAGGAGAAGGACTTAAGGAAACAAAGAACTGGCAGAAATTAATTCCACCATGAAGCTTGAATGCTGTACGAAGTCTCTGGCTTCGCTCCCACAGAAAGGTTCCTGGAAGAAGTCTGTATCTAGCGCAGAGGGGAAGAATGCTGTGACCATCCAAAAATGAGGATGATGATATGGCTCACTAAGCAAGTACTAGGACACCTGGAGTGTGAGGCTCTTGCTTCCCCTAGAAGCCACTGGGGGGCAGCAAATTCCTGGAATTAGCTGGTTATCTGGTGGAGAAAGTTAAAGTTAAGGGTCAGGGATCCTCAAGACAAGCACTTTGCTTACAAAGGATTAGCCTTAGAGGAGACCTCGGATAGGTGCCAGCTTGGCTCAGACAGGAATTATGTTTTATAGTTTAGGCAAGTCAGCCTTTGCATAAGACTCCCAGTGTTAGGCAGGAATTTGCCGTACTAATCCCTAACCCATGACGGTAGGAATGTTCCTGCCATATTCTCACAGGTGCATGCCTAAGGCAACTGTGATCATGCTCCCTTAAATCGTTATTGAACAAGTATATGACCAATGTTATTCCCTTGTCTGTGACTGGGCTAGTTTGGTGGAGAAGAACGGTCAGAAAGGGAGACTACCTCATAGTTCTTATCTTTACTATTGACCAATTCCAAAACCTGAGGATAAGAAGCCCATGAGGTGTGCCAAGCCAGCAGGTTCTTCTGGGTCCGGAATAAACGTCAGGGTCAGCACAAACAGTTGTATAATCCAATGCAGCCATCCTGCCAATGCAGCCGTCCTGCCCATACTGGAAGGTCCATTAGGCCAGACCTGCTGCTCTGGCCTGCCTTGGGTCCTGAAGTCCAGCCTGAGCACCAGAATGAGTTGCTTCCACTCATGCAGTCTGCTGAGTAGCCAGATTGAAGTTGAAGCAGGTTTTCTCCCAGTCTTCGTATTTCCACAGGGAGAAAATAAAAGTCCTAAGTACCAAGCTCTTCCTGAGACTGCAGCCCACCAGACCTCAGGGGAAGGAGGAGGCTGGCAGGAGAGGAGTGCACTATCCCGATGACCCACACCAAGGCAGCTCTCCAAGTGTAAACAAAGCCTGGTGCCAGGGACAGCAGAGGAGGATGCAGCCTGATGTGAGGTTTTCAGGGAAAAAAAGACTTCTAGCACCAGGGTGGGGTTGCTTGGGGCTATACAGCAGTCCCGCACATTGTCCCTAACAGAAGCAACAAGGTAGTTGATGACTTGGGCCTATGAGATGTTCTCCAAACCACTGACAGCTGAAAGAATCCAGGTGATTGCCAGATTTCCAGAATAGTTTTGGCCCTCTTAAAAAGTTCACACCAGAAACCCAGAGATTTACTTACTATCAACAAGAACAAAGACCCAAGGTCTCAAGTAAAAGAAAGGATTATCCTTTCAAAATAACTGTATTATCAGACTTCTGACTCATGAATTTGTGCATTTGTCCTTGGATCTGAGCCAGGTGCTTGTAACGTTGATCTATCTATATACTAAAGTGTAACAGGTACATGAGTAAAAAAAAAAAAAAAAAAAAAAAAATCTTTAAAGTTCACCATTGCAGGTAAGATTCAACAGAAGATTGTGCTAAACTGAACATAAAATCAGGGTCTGACCCACCACCACACACAGACACTTCTGAGGGGAGAGGAACTCAGTTTTGGATACACTGAATTTTAAAATACAATCAGCCTATTGTATCCAGTAGGTGAATGAATGCTAATGTTTGGGTGGAATCAGTGTTCTAGACGAAATTGGTATCAAATAATGGAATACACTCTCTCCCCAGGGAAGGATTTTGAGCCAGAGGAAAAAATTGTGGCATTTCAGGCCTCTGAAGTCAACTGCTTGGACCTGGTCAGAAGAAAACTTCCCCTAAAGCAGCCCCTCTGCAGATACTCCTGGTTCAAACCTCAAATATCAAATTCAGAAGCCACTATCCATAGCTATCAGATACCTAGCACTTCCTCTTCCCCCGCTGCAACTTAGTAAGTGTAAGAGCTGTAACTAGCTACCCACCAAGAGTAAAACTAAGTGATCATTCCCCCTGCTCCCCAACCTCCCCCTAATCTTCTGAAGTCTCCACCTTCAGGTTGGCCCAGACCCTGAGTCTCCTCCCATAGCTTACCAATGAGAGTGAGTACTGGCTCTGAGCCCCTTGTATGTTGTAGGTCCACAGGCTCCTTTAATTCAGGAGTTGGGCCCACATAGTCTTGTTATCGGGATTTTGGTGGCTTTGGCCACAGGTGGGCAGACTTCCAGGTCTCAGGGGAAGTCATCTTTGACCTCTAGTCAGTTTTCCTCTCTTCAGCTACATCAGGCTCAGTCAGGACACAAAAGCAAAGCTGCTGGGTGACTCTGGTGATAGCAGCTAAATGAAAATAAAAGCACAGGATTTAATCAACACAGTTAGCTATAGCCCCGGTGTAAACACTACTGGTTATTTAAAGCACATCTGTAGCTCCCTCCCCATGTCCCTTGGTACCCTTTGCCAGGCTTTGCCCCTTACTCTCAACAAGCCTCACTCTCCTCTGTCCCATGCCCAACCAGAGCCTGATGCATGATTTCTTCCCTTCCCACGTGAGTTGCATTGTCAGATAGCGCTTTAACCCCAAAATAGAACACTATAGAAGTGATCATGTCAAGATCAGAAGGAAGTCGGGCTTGGTGGCTCAGCTGTAATCCCATGCCTTGGGAGGCTGAGGTGAGTGAACTGCCTGAGCCTGCGGGTTCAAGACCCACCTGGGCAAATTGGCGAGACCTCATCTCTACAATAAATAAAAAA